TCCTGCTGTGTCTGTCTCTAATACAGAAATCTGTGTGAGCGGCGGTCGTCTCTGCAGCTCATTTCATTGTTAGTTTGACTTTAAAAAAAAAAAGAACCTGTCAGCTCTTCATGCAGTTTCTCGCTCCGTCCCAGAGGACGGCGCATGATGGAGCAGGGAGCACAGGCAGTAAAAGAAACACAACGTTGTCCACCCCCCACCAGCGGACTGGCTCAGGAAGTGGTTCCCTCGACTTCAGTTGGCTCACTGTGGGAATAACAGAGTGCCCGTGTTTATAGAGCAAACTTCCCCCCCAGCCTCCTTAATACAATAAGCTGTAATTTACACCGCTATTACCTCCAGAGAGATGGCTGTTGTGTGGCCTCGTCCCCCAGCGGAAAGCCTCCCATTATGCTCGCTGTCACAAAGCTGATGTTGAGCACGCAGCTCGGGCAGAGGCGGGAATGACGCTGGGAAACAAGACGTTTGTGGCGGTGGTGGGGCTGGGCTCTGAGGGCCAGCCGCGGGTCAGCCAACTGAGTAAGAGGGTGTTAAGATTTTTACAACGCTGACTTGTTCAGCTCTTTACTGGATGGCCCGTAACAGCGCCGAGAGGATAAAACAGTCATCACTTTTAGTGCATCGTGTAGTGTTTTTACCCAGCTCCATAAATTACGCACATACCTCAACTCTGTCTGCCTGCTCAGTGTGTTCCAGGTGTGTGTGTGTGTGTTTGTGTGTGCGTTCTGCTGGGAGGGATTTGTTTGGCTCTCGGCACAAGGTTTTGTTTTTTTTAGAGGAGGAATCACATTGCAGTTCCATCTTCACACGAAAAAAAAAACAAAGTGCGTGCGTGTGTGTGTACATGTTTTTGTTACCTCGTGGGGACAATTTTTGACCATTTTCCTGGTACGCAGCCTGGTGAGGACCCACTGTTCCTAATGGAGACAAAAGCCCAGTCCTCATTGGGGGAAATATCATTGGTGGATTAGGGGTTAGGATTGGGACCAAGGTGTGAATTGAGTTTAGATGTGTACCTGTGAGGTTAGGTTTAGAGTCAGGGGTCAAGGTTAGGCCGTAGAAAAGACCAGTAAACGAATGGTAGTTAGTGCAAAGTCCCCATGAGGATATAAGAACAAACATGTGCATATGTGTGTGTGTGTGTGTGTGTGTGTGTGTGTTTGTGTGCGACTCCATTGGGTGTGTGTCTAATTTGGAACGGCCTGGTGTAACTGGAGTAACCACACTCCCCATTAGAGATCCTGTTCCGTTCTGTTTGCTCCGAGGTGCAGCGTAACCACAAGAGATAAATGCTGTTCCAGGTGTTGGTGTGTGTGTGTGTGTGTGTGGGGGGGGGGGGGGTCCTTTAGTGTGTATATGAGGGATCAGGCTGTTGTCTGAGTATATGTACACATGATGTACATTCATGGCTTCAGTGTCAGTTTTTTTGTATAAATTTCCTTCTTCTGAGTCAACAAGAAGCAGGTGACCTTTGACCGACTCCATTACTAATAAATGTTTGTGGATCAGCTTGTCTGTTTCTAATTCAGTCATTAATACTGAACTCTAATTAAGTGCTACAGTAATCGTTGAGTGTTGACAGGTAGACATGAGGTCTTCAGAGTTTGATTTAACCATCATGAGCTGAAATAATTTTCATTAAGAACTAACTGAAGTTTTTTTATTTTTTATCTCTCTCTCTAACCATGGCCACAGCAAATATACCAGAATGCTCTCCACAAGTGATGCACAGATGTGAGCTTTTCTTGTACTGGAAAAAAGGGTCTGGTGCAATAAAAGGAGCAAAACAGAAGCAGCTGGAGGGACTCCCTCACAGCCCAACAGGACACAGAGTCTACTGGATATTTCAACCCATTCTCACTGCCAAGTCGTCACATATTGACTTTTCCAAGGTTCCCTCTGCGATTTTGATGCATCTGTTAGGCCCCTTACATCAGTTATTGACAAGATGGGGCGGAATCTGTTGTCATAATTTCAGAAAGTGTAGAAAATGCACAAAAACTACCATCCCAAAGCCTAAAATTACCTTTATTCACTGTAGACATCCTGACCCTGACCCTAATACCTAAAATTAACCATTAACCCTGATCCCTAAAAATAACCATTTTTAGAAACTGTAGGAAATTCACGTCAACTACGTGTTCCAAAGCCTAAAATGACCTAATATTCGCCCTAGACATCCTATCCCTGACCCCAGTACCTAAAATGAACCATTAACCCTGATCCCTAATATTAACCACGGACCCCAAGTCAAAGACCCCTATATTTTGCGTCCCAACGCGTCAAACCTGGATGCCAAGGGAACACAGAAATGCTTGGTGCGTCAGAAACTGACACAATGGGAGTACCCGACGCGTCAAAATAAGAAGCAGAGGGAACCTTGGAAAAGCATCAATATGTGACGAGTGAGGAGTGAGAATGTGTTAGATATTTATACAAATATCTGTAATATCTTTATTTGTTAGAGTTACACTACTCCACCAAAATAAAAGCTGTCTTTTTAGGAGGTTTAAGTTGTGATATTAACATTTTATAAACAAATCTATTAAAATATTATTTTTGGTTTTAATGTTCTTTATGAAAACCATGAGATGCTCTTTGATCAACACCTAGAACAGCTGAAAATCTGGGAAACCTTCAGTGGAAGATCAGCCATGAAACAACACCACTGTGTTAGAACTGTGGTTCTGGACCAGAACTGAGGGGTCGGTTCCCCACTAGGTGTTAGGAAGAATTTCATGATTGATTATTATTTTTGTTCAGTGTTTACAGTGTTTGTATTAATATGTCTGTTAAAAACACTAGCATGCTTTACGCAGCTCTGTCTGCAGAAGTTTCCTTTCTAAACATATTGAGGAGGTTTAGAACCTGGTTCTGTGGAAGGATCACATTCTAACAAGTCAAATGTTGAACTGTTAATCCTCCACTGAAGACCCTGCAAAGACCATCAAGTTCTGGCAGATTCTTTATCTCAAAGCTGCATTGTCGTTCAGTTTTAAATGGCAGAAACACCCCTAAAGAGATCCATGATTAGTTGTAACATTAGACTTTATTTGATAAAAATATATTTTAACTGTAAAATCAAGACTGTAAAAATACTGTAGGATGTTTA